TAGAACGACGGTTCCTTCTCATTCAGCCGTCGGTACCTCTCGACGGTACTTAATATTGCTTTTTCCCTCCTTACATGTAACGTTTCTACATTGGCCAAGACCTCTACAGCAGCTGTAGGTGTGGTCCTGAATGCGCCAGTGAGTCTTTTCAACGAGTCTTTCAGTGAGTCTTTTTATTGAGTCATTCGGTGAGTCTTTTTATCGAGTCTTTCAGTGAGTCTTTTCAGTGAGTCTTTCACAAAGTTTTTTTTTCAATGAGTCTTTCAGTGAGTCTTTTAGTGATTATTTTGGTTAGACGTTTCAGTGAGTCTTTTGGTTTGTCTTTTCAGTGAGTCTTTTCTAAGTGTCTTTTTAGTGAGTCTTTCAGTGAGTCTGTTCAGTGAGTCTTTTCAGTGAGTCTTTTCAATGAGTCTTTTCAATGAGTCTTTCAGTGAGTCTTTTCAGTGAGTCTTTCAGTGAGTCTTTTCAGTGAGTCTTTTTAGTGAGTCTTTTCAATGAGTCTTTTCATTGAGTCTTTCAGTGAGTCTTTCAATATATTTTTGTAGCGTTTTATCTGGTTTCAAATGTGAGGGACGGCTGGCTTTGCTCAAAACTGCAATTGATAAAGTCCCACCCATGCAACGTTTTAAAGACTTTATCAATATGCTGAAGGTACTGTGGAGGCGTTGCAGCTCAGCATCTGACCCTAAATTGAGGTCTTGCAGTCATGGGTTACAGGTCAGCCTCTGACCCTAAATTGAGGTCTTGAGGTCACGGGTTGCAGGTCAGCCTCTGACGTTATGTTTTCTAACCGATCGCTGCTTAGTTTTTCTACTTCCATTCACAGTCAATGAGATGACATACGCCATCTAATGGCGGAGTTTTTAAATGCTTGTTCAAAACTTGATTATATAATTGTGATCAAAAAGTTTGCCTGTTGCAGTTGACTGCTGCGATGAAATATGCACAGTTGGAGGGTCAAATCCATGCCGCAAAAAATTCAAAATTTTAAAATAAACTCACATCTCAGAGGACATCAACTCACATCTCAGAGGACATCAACTCACATCTCAGAGGACATCAACTCACATCTCAGAGGACATCAACTCACATCTCAGAGGACATCAACTCACAACTCAAAGGACATCAACTCACATCTCAGAGGACATCAACTCACACCTCAGAGGACATCAACTCACATCTCAGAGGACATCAACTCACATCTCAGAGGACATCAACTCACATCTCAGAGGACATCAACTCACATCTCAGAGGACATCAACTCACATCTCAGAGGACATCAACTCACA